CAAAAAGTGGCTTCAAGGCCCTCCCTTGGGGTCCTCTACAATAATTATAAGCCAGAATTTGATTCTAGGGGGGTCGATTTTCATCTTCCCTTAGTACCTTAAGAGGTTAAAGAGTTGGCATGGGGAGATTAAATTGTGGCATTCAGAAACTCAAAACTTTACATATGTTACTGATTGATGGCAATGTTTCCCCCGTTAACTACAAAAGAGTTTCATTCTGAAACAGTATTTGGAAACAAGATCAACTACAACTATTAAGAAAAATATCCAGATATACTGTATTACTCAGCAAAACATTATCTGCAAATTCAAGCAACTCTGGACTAGTGAAGTTTCATGCAAAAGGAACCATTTTTCAACAAAGTTAGGGGAGTTCTGGCTGTCTGAGAACTGAGTTAACAGAGGAGACAAACTAAAAAATAACCAGGCAATTTGAAGTCCACTAAATTCAAAGCAACATTATTGTCTGTAAAAGCTGGTGTGAGTTGGAGCTTAATTCCAACATATAGTTATTGATAAGTTCCTTCATCTCTTCCATCTGCACTGTTCTTGGATTACCAGAATTCTTCTTATTCTAGTTCAAAATTGTTCCTTCAACATGAAACTCTTTCATTGATCTGGAAGTTGAATTTGCCAGCAGTGTTTTATCAGGAAATGCTTCAGAAAATCATGTTCTACAATTACATGTGATTTTATTTCCATGTATGGCTCTGTTATGCAGCCCTTTCCTTCTATTGATAACTGGGTAGTGATTGCCATCAACATGTAAGAAAGTTTTTTGAGCCTCTGAATTCAATTTAAAAAATAATAATTTCAAGTTTTTAACTCTTAAATCTTTAGGCTAATTTTTAAATAGTTGATTCAGTTCTGAAGTATTTGCAGTTTTATTGAACTGGAAGACTGGTATGTGTATGTGTGCATGACTGGAAGTCTGGATCATGGATCCAAGAGCCTTAGGCTAGGCCTCCTCCAAGAACCCTCAAAGTAATAGCATCTTCCTATGGTTTTTTAGGAATGAGGTCAGGCTATGTGCACTCATCAGTTCTGTTCCTGCAGTTTTTAGGTAGAACTCCCTGACATTTCTGCTCTTTGTTGCCCAGAAGTCATTATCCAGACTGGAACCAATTGGCCCAATGGCCAAACTAAGAATTATGTTCATAGATGCCATTACCCAAGAGCCACAGTATCTGCTATTTCCTTTGTTGCACTACATGCACTGTGCACTGGAACAATGCACTGGAATTGTGCATTCACCCCTGCTTTCTCTATATATGTTTGTATTATATATGGGTTGATAAGGGTTTACAGAAAAGTAACACTGGGTAAATATTGGGAGATTGTAATTTCATCAGATATATATTCTGTCTGGACTCCACAAAAATGTAATCATATCCAATTGCTTTAGAGAGCTCATCTTGTATTTCAAAGTAACTAGTGATATATGCAGTTCAGTTGATCATTTTATTAATGTTGCTGGCAGTGATGAAGAGGAGGAAGTAGATGATTCAGTTGTTGTTGTGGAGGAAGAGGAGGAGGGGGAAGAAGATGACGATGATGAAGAGGAGGAAGGTGGTGCTGAAGGTGGAGGTGATGGAGATGATGATGAAGGACATGGACCAGGTAAACAATTCACACTGAAGCTCAGCTAATCTCTTTTGTCACAAATACATAATTACTTTGCATAGAAGGAATTGTTGGTACACTTAATGCATCCACACATGTTTGCCATCAATCCTTTTGTCTGTGGACTTGTCATTTAACTGTATGCTAATAGTGAGATAATCTCTACATTTTTTGTAGACCTGTTTACTGTCTTCATGAAGACAAAGCATGAAATGTAAGGGACATTAAGACCTGTTCATGTGCATTGAAGAAAATCAAATTAAAGGAATTGAACCTGTAAAGTCTGTAATAAGGAGCTGATAGCAGAGCAGGAGCCCACTTGTGCTTCATTATTGTGAGTCATATGGCTTTACCCATGGTGTGAGACATTATGCAATATAAAGGGAGGAATCCTCAGTAGTTGACTTCATGCAAGACCTTCATTTTCCTCACACCTCTTGTGTCAACCCTTATGAAGTGTAGAATTTGATAATAAACAGTTACATATTTTATGGATACAGGAAGCAGTTGAAAGGGAGATGCCATAATAAGAGCTGTTAAGCATATCTCAGTTATTTTCAACAGCTGTAAAGTAGATGAGGTGAGCATGACTTGTACTGACACAGTCATTTTGCAGGTTATGGGGAAGGAGAAGAGGAGGAAGAAGAAGAAGATCAGACTTGAGTCATGAATGTACTTGAGAACCATTTGTTCTCTTCCAGGAGGAAGTTCAAGGTCTTTTTTTGCCTGTGAGAAGTGAATATGGAAGTGCAAGAGTGACTGTTAGTGAGTAAGGGCAAATTGTCTGATTCCGTCTTTTTTGTTTGTTTATTTTCCATGCATTGGGATCCAAGTGCTTTCCTGACTTCTCACTGGAATAAAAGACGTGCGGCTGTATTGCTTGATTTGTGATTGAAGGAAATATCTCCTTGAATCTATATATTTTTTCACTCTGCTTCTTGTAAAGGTAGTTCCAGATCTGCAAGCACCCAAGTAGTTTGGTATATTGTAGCAGTTCTATAGGAAAGTTGATTAGTGATATTGCTTCAATATGTAAATGTTCAAATAGTTAATATTCATCCAGTGTTGTTTTTCAAATCGACATACATGCAACTTTCCCAAGCTTACCCCCTTGTCAGAGATATGGATCTAACTCCAAATCTCTGATAAGTGAAGAGTTTTTGGCATATGGATTTTTCCTTGTCATGTTATCCAAATTTCAGGAAGTTGGCTGAGTTGCACCATCAACTGGGTTTTAGCTATAAAAAATCTTGGCTATTGGGAGTTACAAGAAACTGGTTTATCTGAAATTTAAGCAATATAGGTCAGTCTCCGTTATACTGTATGCTCTTGCACATATTGGGAGGGAAGCCTTTAGACAAAAACATAGTTTTCCAAAACTACTCAAGTCAGAAAGCTGATTAATTGCTCATTTTAAAACTTAGAATCGGGCAATAGCTTATTTTTGTCAATTTTTGTGTTTCAATGAGTTAAATTTGCAATTTTTTACACTTCAACTCCAAAAAAATTGGCTGTATGAGTGTTGCACCTAGTGAACTCAGCAAGGAGGTTTCATTCTTGTTGGATTAAATCAGCCCAAAACTTCTCTTACTCATGGTATTTCAAAAACTTGCAATGCTTTCTTATGCATTTTACAAAGTTTCAAGAAATTGTAGTTTCAGCCTGTTAGTCTGAAAAACGATTGTGAAAATATGTTCAAAATTTGTGTAGTGTTTAATGACAAGGGCACTTCTGAACACCAAAACTAAAATCAATTCCAGAACGAACTGGAGAGTTACTGTCCGATATCCCATAGGAGTGTGAAACGAACTCTCAAAGGGCTATTTCGAAACTGGTGAAATAAAAAATTGTATAGGGTAAGGTGGAGCTAATCGGTCATGCCTTGGTCAGACTAATACTATACTAAGTTGAGGACATGATCGAGCCTCTCGAAGTGGAGATGGATATGCCTCGCGTGGACCTGGTCAAGGGCATTTTCAGGTCGGTGAGGATCGAGGGAGGACGCCAGGGCAGTCATTTCAAATGTTTCATTTTGTGTGCGCCTAAAATCGAGGTTTTGCTGTTTCATTTAAGTCGGTTCCAATTTGGAAAATTATAGGGTGGGGTGGGACTTTCGGCCCCGATAGGCCTACCCATGCTTTGGGAAATGTTTTTTTCTTTTACCTGTTTGCCCCTGAAATCGAGCAGTAAAGCAAACACTGACACGGAATGCAATTGACAGTCAGACCGACCACATGTTAATTTCTTTATTCTGTAACCAAAAATGTCACATTTACAGATTCCGTTTTCTGGCGGAATATGTAGCTGAATGACATGACCGTGTGGAGTCCTCCTCGTGCCCATGGATGAACAGAGGGGAAGAGTCCCCGGGTTACTACGCTAAGTAGTAATAGCGGACCTCCTCTCGCCCCTTCACGCCCTCACCTCTGCCCTACGCAGCAGTCCGCCTTGAACCTCCGGCCGGACAGCACGCAGCAGTCCGTGTTGAACCTCCGGTCGGACAGCACGCGGGAGTCCGTCACGAACCCTCGGCCGGACAACACGTGGGCGCGTGAGTGCGCCAGGACCCTTCGGCCGGACGACACGTGGCGTGTCGAGTCACGCAGCCTGACCCTCACCGCCGGTCAACTCAGTGAACCGCAGTGTGAGCCCCGAACTGCGTGCCGGCACACGCAACCTTCCTGATTACCATCCGACCACATTGGGTCTGATCCCCATATGTAGCGAGGCATTCGTGCCCCATATCTTGTGACCCCCTGGGGTTCGCTACAACCGGTTGAGGTTCCAAAGGTTTTTCTGTATAATTAATTCCCTGATTGTGGAGTAAGTAAAACTAAAAATCGTGGCCGAATAGCCCCACCCTACCCTACAGTGAAAGAAATTCCCCTCTGGGCCAGAATTTCCCATCACTGAGTTGAAACGTTAAAATTTTACCAATTGATATAAGAAGTTGAAATTTCGGATTTATCACTTCTCATAGCTCCAAATAGCCATGCTTTCTTAACAGCTAAATCCCAATTAGTGGTGCAATAAACTCATTAAAACTTGGATCACTTGAAATGGAAAGACTCGTCTACATTTGTGGACCACCCCCTCCCCCCCAGATGTTTGGAGCCATTCGGAAAAACTCCACTGTGAAGACTTCTTAGCTGGACCTTGTAGTAAGGCCACCGGAAATTACCTCAACACTGCGAACCACAATAGAAGCTAGTCCGTCTGTACCTGACCTTTCGAAATAATATAATTACAGTGGTTTTTAACTCTAATCCCGCCTGTTTCATGATTAAGCGCTTCTTAGTACTAGCTGTTTTCGTTTGTATGCTGATGGCCCTAATCCTTGTGCGGAGCATTGTGAAGATACGGCTCATCTTTTCAAGTTACTCCAATATTGCCAGTACTGTCTTATTTCTTAAATCCATAAGTAGCACCGCGAAAGCTGATCAAGTCCGTCAGTACTCGTTGACATAATTTCTGTATTTTTTGCTGAGTTGATTTATCAAGGGTCAGCACTTTAAAGTTGGGTTGGGCTTGATAAGAAAAAAGCAAGACCTTGTAAAGATGACTATGTCGCAACCAGGTAAAATGAGCGGGGACAGGGCTGTTTCTAGGCATGTTGGCGCCCAGGGCAATGAGTTCCAATGCCCCCTCCCCCCTTTACCCCGCTGGCGCCCCGGGCGATCACCCGCCCCTAGAAACGGCCCTGAGGGAGAAAAAACCTAACAAATAAGTCAATATTCCCACTTGACAGGGCGTTAAAGGTGGAGGACATCTTATCAAAACTTGCCAAGAAACGAAATTCAAGATCTTGCCAAGCGACTTGTTTAAACTCAAACTACTGTTAAGTAATTTCGGCGCCGTAATTGTTCCTCTGCAGATGCCAGTTTAAATCACTTCATCGAGCGATTCTCTATCCATCCATCTTCAATGCCCGCTATTCCTTTCGGGTTGCGGGGGCAGCAGCTTCAGGAGTCTTCCAATGGCTCCGGTCCTCCGCCAATTTGGCAAGTTCTTCTGGATAGATTCCAAGACGTGACCATGCCCGGGGGTCTTCAGTATATTCTGACCACCTAGTCCTAGGTCTGCCCCTTGGTCTCTTTCCCTTTTGGCTTAGCAGAAAGGACCTGCTTTGCAAGTCTCTTTTGTGGCATCCTGAGCACGTGCCCGTACCATCGTAATTGTGATCTCTCAATTTGGAGTAGAGATTCACACCCGAGTGTTTTCCGGATTTCTGTGTTCCGAAACCTGTCGAGTCTCGTTACATCAGAAATCCTTCGTAGGAATCTCATCTCGACCCCTTGTATTCGCGATCGCACTCTTTCGGTCATTACCCAACACTCATGACCTTAGGTGAGGATAGGAGTGTAGACAGACTTGAGGACAGAGAGCTTTGCCTTTGTGCCAAGTTCCTTCCTCATTACCACAGACCAGTTTAGCTCACGCATTGCTCTGCTTGACCGATCCGTGTGTCTAGTTCTACATTTTGCCTGCCGTCACTCGTGAATGCCACCCCGAGATATTTGAACTTCACCTGCCTCAATGGGACTCCACTGACATGCAGAGTGCATTGAGTAGGCTGTCTAGAGAGGACAAAAGACTGTTTTTGCCACGCTGTTCTTCATCCCAGCCTCATCGCATGCGGCTGTGAACCTGTCTAGTGCCTGCTGGAGATCAGCTTCGGAGGATGTCAACAGGACAAGATCATCTGCAAAAAGCAAGTGACTTATTTGGACATCTCCTATCCCGACACACTCATTGACTTGACTGCGTCTGCTGATGCAATCCATAAAGATTATGAAAAGGAGAGGTGACAGTACACACTCTTGACGGAAGTCCAACACCCACGCTGAAATGATTCGACTTAACACCGTTTACTCGGACACAGACCTCAGACCAATCATAGAGATTTAATGGCAGCCAGTAGCTGGCCATCCATCCCATAATCCTGCAATACCCTCCATAACCGACCCCGAGGAACACGGTCGTACGCCTTTTCGAGGTTTATGAAGCAAGCATACACCTCTAGGGCATACTCCCAGCATTTCTCGAAGATTTGGCGGAGGGTGAAAATCTGGTCCACTGTGCTACGACCAGGACGGAAACCACACTGCTCGTCTTGGAATTTGGACTCTCCAACCTCTCGACATCTTCCTTCGAGGCACTTGCATAGACTTTTCCAGGAAGGCTGAGCAGAGAGATGCCCCGATTATTTTGCTGTCTCTCTGATCCCCTTTTTTGAAAATGGGGACAACTAGTTTCGGTGTCCGCTGCACTGCTTCGGTGCCCTACCAGAGTTCGAGCGATTCTCAGTGAAGATATTAGATTCGTGCCTGGGAATTGAGCTTTCCCTGAAATTCTAAGTCCTGCCGGCACTGGGATATCAATACTTGTTGAGAGGCAAAGGACAGACGCTTAGAGTGAGGCAAATCCATCGGTACTTCATTCGTCGGAATCGATCCAATAGTCATCATTATCGAGGGTGCAGCTGCTTTTTAAAACTATTTTCAAGTAAATTTTCGGGCTTTCTGTATGAACAAATTCTTAGGCACCCGGAAAAAAATATTTCTTTGTTCCAGCTTAAGCATGCTTCATTCACTCGGATTGTTCCGGTAATACAGACAAGCAGTAGCGTGTTTTGGCTGAAGAGTCAGGGAGGGCAGGGCAGCATAATGGGGCGACTTGTGTGGCGAAAGAGGACTTAGATTCCCCGCGTGAACATCAAGTGTGAGAGTGACAAATAGAGTGGGTGAATATTACGTAACGATTCTTAAAATTAAAAAAGCTGCAGGATTCTGACAAAAGTCTATGTTGCATTTAGTAACTTCAACAATGCCTTTTAAAAAAAATGAGTAGGTGGCGACTTCACTAGTTTCACCTTT